ATCCCAGCATTTGGCCACCAACCACAAATCCACAGGATACTTCTTGTCGACGGACGCTTCGACCGCCTGTGTGTCAGGACCGGCTTCCTCTGTGGTGTCCAACGTCTTGCTATCCTCTGGCTGCTCTTGGTCACTGACCGGCAACTCCTCCCAGATTCAGTAAAGTGATTGATGACGTCCACATCAAACCCTGAACTGCACCTGGACTGCACCTGAACTGCACCTGAATGGCACCAATATAGAAAACCTCATCACCTGAACTGCACCTGAACTGCACCTGAACTGCACCTGACCTGCACCTGCCGCCCTGCCCCCCACAAAGGTCCTCTGTGGGATGGGCCGGCATGTCTGTCATGGGTTTGCACGGCCTGAGCTTGCCTCAGTAGGAGTGTGGGTTAGTGTGGGCAGTGGGGCCATTAGTCTAGTTTCAAGGATTCTTTTAATTTAATTCAAAGGCACAATTGTAGTCGGTGCAGCGCATCTGTAACTTCTCATAGGCAAATGACCGGCATTTGTTGACAGTCACATGGCTCGGCACCACCTCCTTCGCAGAGACCGACAACTCCGACTGTGAATAGACCATGTAAGTCGGGCGACGATTCCGGGACTGTTCTGGACCGGCAGTGAAGGTGATGACGTACGCCTCACGGTTTGGGATCATCGTCTGCAGCTGGTTCCTTAGCTGTAGTGTTGCATCGACCGACCAATTGGATTGTCGCACCCCAAAACTTGCACTGACCACGATTGCCACTGCAGATGCTTTAAATCTTTTTTTGGCTTCCTGCATGCCCCTTCACACAGAAATTTGACACCCGACTACTGGCGGTTCAACGACCAGCGTGGTGTCTGTACTTCTCCTCTGCAGCAATAATGAAAAGCCTCAGCTGCTGTCGCTCGTTCGGCAGCTTTTTCAAGAAAGCTCTTATGTCTTCTTGAGCGCCAGAGACGACCGGCACGTTCTTATCAATTCGGGAATTGATGAAGGACATGTCATACAGCACCTTCACTGTGACAAACAAATGACACAGTGTCGATGTTGTGAAGATCGCAAACAAGAGACACCCGACCGCCCAAAGATCAGCTGTGGGTGCCAACCTCACCCTTACAGCAAAGCTACGACCGGGTTCCTGTGACCCGCTAAGCTCCGGAGGTCTGTACGCTGCAGAGTACACCTCGTCACCATAGACAGCTGTCCCGACCGGCTCAGTGAGGCCGAAGTCTGCCCAGCGGGCTCGAACATGGGGGGCAGGACCGACAAGTATGTTCTGTGGCTTCACATCACAGTGCACAAGCTTGTGACAGTGCAGATACTGGAGTCCATGTGCAAGATCGACCATCAGATGCCATTTGTGTGGGCACTTTGCGGCCTTGGGCTGCGTCTTCAGCCAAGCGTCCAATGTCACCGGCACATACTCCAAAAGAAGGCCCACGAGACCTCCGTCGACCGACATGACTGGCCCATAACAATGCAGGATGGCTGGGTGGCGTAGACTGAGGAGAACGTCTAGCTCCCTCTTCACGTCCCTGCTGCCGACCGGCAACCTCGACATGACAAGATGCAGCACTAAACCCAAAGTCGACAAAGACATCATTCGTTCATTCATTCATGATTGTTCAATCGCATGAACCTTAATAATAAAATGAATAGCCAAGATGCTTCACTGCGAACTCCGTTCCCATCAAGTTTTCACAGCGGTAAACTGTGCCATGGGCGCCTTGTCCCAGGGTCGACCGACTGGAAAGTGCCATGCCTTCAAAGGAGAACCTCAATTCATTGACGAGGTTCTCATCGACCGGTGGCTGCTGGTCACTATCATTCTCAGGCTTCGGGTCTCTGACCGGCGAGTCGACTTCCACTGGAGGATGAGCGAGCTCCCTCTTGAGGGCGTTGTGCTTTCTGTGATCCTTGACCGCCGCGTCCACAAAGGGTTGTTTCTCCTTTTTTGACATCTGCTTCCATCGCGACCGGCTCTGATCTAAGTTTTTCAAGAAGGTTTTGACTCGAAGGCGCTTCAATGGAGGGTCGACCGTCCCTGTCCTGGCGACCGTCGCACAGTAACGGGCATAGGGCCCTGCCACCCTCTTCAGCCCGAGGCTTTTGTTACTGATTCGACCCATGAAGGTCGACCGGCCGTTTTGGACTTGAGCCGAAGCAACGCTGAGCACAGCAGTCGACCGACAAGTCTAGAAAGAACTCTGTGCCATCCAAGGTTCACGACCAACGTCACTAAGTCGTGGCGCTTTCCACAGAAGATGCCCATGGACACGTGTTGCCGATCTACGACCGACGTGACGACCTTCCACAACTCTGCCATGTCCCCCAAAATGATCTTGGCCTTCGACGTGGCCTCATCGATGTAAATGCCGCCACGGGTCGTCGCCCGGCATAGACCGACGAAGCCATCACCAAAGGTCTTCATGTCATGAAACAGATGAATGTTGGAGCGGACCGACAAGCCGAGCTCCTCAGCTTTTTCAAGAACAGGATCCTTCTCCACCAGTGGGGCCTCCATCGTGATGTCGTCAGCCAAGATCCCAGACTCGTCGTCTCCCCCCTCAACGACCAGCTTGTGCTCTGTGACCGTTGCTTTGGCCGCATCCACAGCACTTTCGGCTTCATCCACTGCACGACCAGCGGCCAGATTCTTCAACCCTTGGAGGACCGACACACACTCAGGGATGCCACTGCCCTCGATCTTCGGGTCACCAGACAGACCGACGCCAAGACGCATGCACGTCCTTGGCAACCCCATCACCAAAATAATGAGACATGGCACTGAATGTCAGTTATAGTTCATAGTGCTAGCAAGCCTCAAAATGCGCGACCGTCCACGCTCACTCCACAGCATCTTCTGACAGCGGTCATACGCTGGTAGGCGGCTCACGACCGACGAGTATTTCTTCATGACCAACTGACACCACAACTGTGCCTTCAACATTGGGGCACAAAAGTCAGACATGAAGGTCGGTATGGAAGAGACCGTCCCGCGACCGTCACAGAAGTCATAGAAAAGCTGCAGAGCAGCAAGCTGCTGCTCGGGTTCCAGGAGGAAGCCTGAGCCAACTGCATTCCGCGACCAACAATGCAGGGAAACCTAACAGCATGGCATGCCGCCGAGTTACGTGTCTCTTCTCCTTGACCGACGAAGTACTTGTTCGTGAAAACAAGTCCCTGTGGCAGGTCGGGCTTCTCCTTCAGCTTGATCAGGACCGGCTCTTTTAACACTGCAGTCGCTTTGCACCAGTTGTGGATTGTTGACCGGCGTGACTTGCCCAAAATTTCCACCATGGCGTTCTCGGCGTCCTGACAGATGAGACTCAGGGCCAGCAACAAAAACAGGTGGTCGACCGACTGTCCTTTATCAGACCGCCAGGAACTTTGGCGACATAAGCACGCACAAGTTTGATCTTGTGCTCGACCGACGTCGTCCGCAACTTGTTGGCCTCCTGCTCATGGGCCATGGTGTAGAAGAGCTTGACCGCCGCCTGACACAGGAGTAACTAGTGACCGTCATGAGTGTCTAGTCATACTGCACATCCCTGGCCTCATCATCATCCAAGAATTTGATGCAATCAAAACGCATTCCGACCGTCAGAATGTCCTTGATCTCACCTGTGTACCACTCGAGCTGCGTTGCATCATCGGACTGAGCGACCGTCTCAGCAGCTTTCCTCGGTCAGAAAGTAATTTAAAATTAAGGGAAATGAAAACCGTGGACTTCGACCGACTCTTTTCTGACCAGCTGACAAACCAGTGCACACCAGAACGTGGAATTGGACCGACAAACTACACGTCGTCAAGTATCTTCAACGCTGCGATACAGTGCTTGCCATCTGCCAGCTTCGACCGGCCATCAGATGCGGCCATAGGACGACCAGCAGGATCATACCTGCGAAACCCAAGAGTGAACTACCAAGCACGAGAAAATAAACTTTTCGACTGGCCTCAGCTTCGGTCGGGACAACGAAGCCTGGCCCCAACGACCGGCCAAAATCACCTTCTCATACAACTCCAGGACACGATCCTCATCGACGTCCCGATGGCCGGAATCATGGGCGACCGACACGTCGTCAAGCTTTAAGAGCTTGCTCTCCACGTAGACCGGCGCGTAAGCAGGAGTGCCTGCTTTCTTGGACATGGCTCGACCGGCCGACTTGGTTCGGAACCCCGAGGATCGGTTGCTAAGGCTTGTAAGCCCAAACTCCAGGTAGGCAACGGCACGACCGACACTCAGAGATGTGCTTCCAAGATCATCGACCGGCCTGCCGATGTTGAACCCACAAGATAGGCCCACAAGGCTTAGCAACCTATTCTGCTGGTTCAACTGGAAGAGCATGCACGACCGGCTAAGGTGCTGCAACATATGTGTCAGAGTGGGACCGACCTAGGACGATGCAGCACTAGACCGACTTTAACCCCCAAGATAGGACCACAAGCCTTAGCAAAGCATCCTTTGGGTTCAACTTAGTGAAGGCATGTATTCAACCTTGGAGGTCATCTCTGGCTCGGGCTGTCGACCGATGTCTGAACTGGTAACTTGGGGCTACAAGCCTTAGCAACCGATCCTGGGGGGTCCGAACCAAATGCAGCCCAGAGTGGATTCCAAAGCATGTGCCATGCGCTGGAATGCACCATGGACCGCCAGGCTGGCATGCATTGTGCTACCAAGTCAACAACTTGACTACATGACAGAACCAACAGGTAACAAACAAAGTCAGGTATGCTGCACTCAATCTCGAACACTAAGTCGACTGGCATGCCCTCTCACGTGCTTCACATTTTAAACACATGTCTCGCTGGCTGCTGAAACCGACAGACGACTGTGGCTCTATGCACACATGTCATGGCCGACAGCTGGCAGGACAGGCTGCATCTGGCATTCAGAAAACACTATCGTCATGATCATGATGGTCTGTCATTATTTGACCGACAACTGCCAGGGCCAGCCTGCCTGCTAGAGTGAGGAAAAAGGCCTTTGACTCGACCGGCGTGGTGGACATCAGCTAGACTCAGCGACCTGGTCCATGACGAGCGGCTGCTTTGTCTTGCCTGCAACATCTTCCTCGACCGACTCCATGACGAGTGGCTGCTTTGTCTTGCCCGCCAGATCCTCGACCGACACCGTTGTCTTGCCCGCCAGATCCACGACCGACTCTTTGGCGAGCATCTCATCCATTTCTGCGACCAGCTTCTTCTGTATCGCGAGCAGAGTTGACGACCGACTGTTCAGCTCCTCCAACTCTTTATCGTTCTGGTACATGTATTCTTTCAGCGTCTCGAGGTTCTTTAACTTCACGAAGTCACCGACCGGCACCTTGTTGCTGAACTGAACCATGACCTTGTACTCCGCGGCGACCGACTCAACGCCCATCTGGGGAAGCGTCGGCGCGTAGTAGTAGTCCTGAGCAGACAGCTTATGCTGTAGATTGCAACTGCAGGATTAGAAATCATGCAACTGCAACATCACTGAATCGAATGCCACCAAAGCACACAGACCGGCGACATGCTTTCATCATAGTGAAGGAGTCCAGCTGGAAGCATGCCCACTCCATAGTAGCTCAGCCGCACATCGACCGCCGTGCCGCCACCTGCCAGCCAACACATCAGCGCAGCCTTCGTCGGGTTACTGAAATACATATATCCAGTGCCACCCCGACCGACTGTGGAGGAAGGCCGCTTTTGCCCTCGGGGCTTGTTCATGCTGTAGCTAGCTTCTTCACGACCGACAGCTCCGTCACATCATCGGAGATCTTGTAGAACACGAAAGCAGGCTTGTCGACCGGCACGTCACTTGGCAACGCCTCCACCTCGAGGCGGGCGTCCATGCGTGTGACTTTGAGGTGCTTCTCGACCGACAAGTCGAGGTTCCTCACGACGAAGCCGTCGTTGGTGCATGGTCTGACCGACCCTTGTTCCATAGCCAGTTGGAACTCATCGACCTGCACTTCCAGCACGACCACGAACCGGGTCAACAGAAGTTTGACCTCATCTTCCCGACCGGCATTATCAGTAACACACATGATTGTGCCCCCAGCCGAAACACGATGGGCCTGCTCCTTGTGCTTCGACCGTTGGTACATCGGCCCCGGAATGGGATCCGTGTCGGAAAGCTGGTATTGCATCCTGACCGACCGGGCAGTTCAGAACTAAGGACGACCTACACTACTGCATCCTCGCTGGTCATGATAAATGAACTGAAACACAGCAGCAAGGCACCTGCGACCGACACCAGCGATAGCCTTATACACAGCGACCGACGGGGAGAAATAGGCCTGGACGTCGGGAACTGGGTTCCAGAGCCAGTGCTCCCACTGGTCGACCGACAGTCCGACATAACCTGTCTTGGCCATAGCGACGGGGAGTGGGGCCGGCAAGTCTCGTGAAGCTGAAATTGCTTTGTGGCATGGCAGGCATCATAGACATAGACCGACTGTGACTGTGCCCAACAACTGCAGGTAACCAATGAGGACCAGGCCAACCGGCACCCGCTGATCAGACATCATAGAGCTGGAGTCCAGTTCTATGGTGTCTGACCAGATGGTGATGGTAGGCGACCGACCTTGGCAAATATGAATCATGAAGTCATAGCTAGTTACAGTATCCAAAGCACGCTGCCCACGCATGTGTCTGAGAACACCACCGGCAAGGAAAGTAGATCTGCTTCTGTCTGGACCTCAATACTTAAGGTGACTGGGATCTCAAATTGGCATGGACCTGTTACTGCTACAGGAGCCCGACCTCCCAGAGCATCCAAGGAGCTCCTCAACCCTTCGTCGGCGCCACTCAGCCGGTCGTAGTTCGACTGGCTGAGCGGTGCCGACGAAGGGTTGAGGACACCTGTCGGTAGCTCTCCTCGACCGGCAACACTTCCTGACCAGGTGTTGCTAAGTCAATCATTACAGCAGTGTCCAGCATTATTGAATGCTGATCGACACTGAGGCCTGTACCCTGAGCCATGAAGATTTACATTGGGTGGTCTGGGAGGTGATAGACCTTGAGCGAACACACACATAACACTTTCGAAAGTACACTGCCCACGCATGTGTCTGAGAACACCACCGGCAAAGAAAGTAGATCTGCTTCTGCCTGGACCTCAATACTTAAGGTGACTGGGATCTCAAATTGGCATGGACCTGTTACTGCTACAGGAGCCCGACCTCCCAGAGCATCCAAGGAGCTCCTCAACCCTTCGTCGGCGCCACTCAGCCAGTCGTAGTTCGACTGGCTGAGCGGTGCCGACGAAGGGTTGAGGACACCTGTCGATAGCTCTCCTCGACCGGCAACACTTCCTGACCAGGTGTTGCTAAGTCAATCATTACAGCAGTGTCCAGCATTATTGAATGCTGACCGACTCTGAGGCCTGTACCCTGAGCCATGAAGATTTAGATTGGGTGGTCTGGGAGGTGAGAGACCTGGACTGAAAATTTCAATCCAGGTCTATGCCTCCCAGAGCACCCGAGGAGCTCGACCGGCAACACTTCCTGACCAGGTGTCGCCAAGATGTGGCAGAGAAGCTTTATGGATCAATCGGAGCACCTTGGCTATAATATATATATATATATATGTTGCAAGATAGTGACTGTCACTATCACTAGAGCCGATGTATTTAAGCCAAAACTGTTTGATGCTATGGTAAGTTCATTCGTGTCTTTTTTGTGTAATACAGCATACCTTTTACTATTTTATGATTTGTATACCTCACGTATGGTTGTGCAGCATCACCACACCTGACTGCACCTGAACTGCACCTGAACTGCACCAATCTATAATAGCGCGAACGCTGAACTGCACCTGAACTGCACCTCAACTGCACCTGAACTGCACCAGCATTATCCTTGTTCATGGTTTCCCCCAGAAAGAATAAACAGAACAGACCGGCTAGTAGACCTTCTTGAATAATTAATTCCTACTAAGGGATATAGGTAAACTTATAGGGCTCTGTCTATTATTTCTAAAAAGGACAAGCGTGAACTGCACTGGAACCTTTGTGAATCAAAGCATCAAACCCAGCAGTCCTCCTGGACTGTGTCAGACCGTCGCTCAGCCGAGGCCATTGGGGGATCTTGTCATTTTGACGAGATCCCCCGATGGCCTCGGCTAGCCTGGCTCAAGGTGCCAAACAATGCATCTTGACTTGGCTCTGTGATCCTCAGATGAAACGTTGACTTAGTGCTGGACGACCGACTCGTCGCCGGGCCGGCCTGCCACGTCGGTGGTCTGTCCATCGGTCTGATTTATTTATGATTACACCTCACGAATCCGCCTCATGCGGGACACTGACCGGCCCCATGTGAAGCTCTCGCCTTGGAGCAAAAAGTAGACAGGTAAATACCGGAACACCCACTGCATCCAGGGATGTGGCAGGTCATGAAGATGTTGCCGAAAGCCTGTCCACGGGAAAATGCATCATTGCTGTAAACAAATGAGGTGGCACCCATGATGCATGAGCTGCACTTGTTTTGCCATCATTGCACGACCGTCGGTTTCTGCGTGGGGGAATTGATCTCGACTTGGTTGCTGCTCTCCCCCCAGAGCTGTAATGAATGTAGGTGTGGCTGGCTAGCACTCTCCACAATGGGACCCTGTCTCTCCCTCTTACTCCCAACATGACTAAGCAGCCATTAACCGTTCCTGTTCCTTTTGCACTCACTGCCCAAATCTAAACCGAAGTGCCCCGATTCTGATTTGTAGAAACACACTAGCACTTAGCTATGGGCATTGACTTGAGCCAAACGTTGCGTTGGCGGTCACATAGAAAGGTAAAGACGAGGGATGCGTAGCATGCCCCCTTAGAGTCGAGGGACGCGTAGCGTGCCCCCTTCTCTTGCACTTTACACGGTCTTGCTCACAGCTCTTATAGTGACACCTTAGAACTTGACAAGGCATCGCAGTCCGTTCGCACCCCCCATGAGTTGCGTCTCCGACGCTGCTCACCCGGAAGATGGCACGATAGGACAACAGAAAATGTTCCGCCGCAACGTTGACATTGAAAATCAGAGCTTTGCATCCCAATTAGAAACGTTGTGACACTCATCTACGTCAGTAACGATCCCCTGAAATGACAAACGAATCAGGCGTCACCGAAGAAAGAAGCATTCGCGATGGCATTCCATGGGCGAAGCTCAGAGGTCACGAACTGATAGGCGAGGAAGACCAAGCGTTGATTCATCTCCATCTTCGCGTGGTCGCAGGATCGCGGTCCCAGGGCCGGAGGTTTTCCTCTGGATACTGTTCCCGATGCTTTCCCTTGTCCTTGCCTTTGTTTCGGCCTTTGCCGGCGGTGTAGTCGTAGTAGGAGTTGGAGTTCCAGCCTCCATGCTGCTCACCTCCGGTTCTCCCACGCCCTTTTGAAGGTCCCTTGGCCGAAGAAGCGCTTTCACGTTCCTCCGTAGTGACAGGCGTGTCCAGGATGGAAGTACCACCTGGAGGGAGATAGTCAGCGGCCGAAATGTGGTGTAGGGCTTCAGTACGCTTGGTCGTCGGGTTTTGCTGTCTCTCAGCCTTGGATCTGTTCAATCTGTCCATGAAATGCGCAGGCATTTGCACACTGTGGTCCACCAGCAAGCCGATGGTCTGGACTGACTGATCAGAATGAGTCAGCAGGATACCGACGGGGTCGATGTACAAGAAGTCCACCGGTCCAGTTGGCGTTGGTCGTAGCACTGAGAATTGTTGGTGTCCCGTCACCATTGGAATCACCTCGCACAGGACGTTCAGGCAACAAAAGTGCATAGCCTTCACATCTTCATCCCTTTCGCTCTTCAAGTAAGTAGTAGGGTTGAAGTTGTCCCTGCCAATTCCCATCATGTTGGCTCCCCGTGTAAGCAACGAAAGCATCTGGTTCGTCCGGAAGCGCTTCAAGGTGTAAGTCCCGTTGGGATCATACTGCTTGAGGTTCTCAGGCTCCTTGGCAAAGCGAATGATCTCCTCATCAGTCACATCCTTGCTCACACCCGTTTCCCTATCCACTGCCGCCAAAGATCCCCACTTTCCAAGCACATCATAGCGTTGGCCAAGTGCGAAACTTTCCCTCATCTGGAACAACGGCATAGTCGCCCACTTTGCGAATCCTGACCAAGCCTTGTAGATGGATCTGCATACCACGTATGCCATGTACGAAAGAGCGGTCATGTTCGCGTCAATGCAATGGGCATTTCGCTTTCCAGAATAGTAGGATGGCTGCATGGCGGTACGTGCAAGTTGTAGCTCAGGATCGATGTTCAAAGACTGGCCGGTAACGAAGACGGGACGACGTTCCTGTGCAATTGCTTCTGGTACTGCGTCATCAAAGTCCTCTCCTGGCTCTATGTCCATTTCTTCATCAGGTTCCTGTTCTGGATCGTCCTCCGCGATGACAGATGGTTCTGGGATTTCCTCAGGTTCCGCAACGGTCTCTACCTCCATGGCTTCCTGCTCCTCTTCGGGCGCCTCAGGCACTGCGGCTGCTGCGGCTTCCATTGTCTGAGCAATGAAGTCACTGGGGATCTCCGTAGGAGTCTCCCGTTGTGGAGAACCTTGGTAATATCCGCTCGAAACGAACTGTGACCAGCAAGACGTGCATCGGGAGAAACATGCTGGAACGATGTTGTAGCATGCCGGGCATACCCTCATTCTCCGTCCATCCTCGTCTCTGCGTAGGTCTTCGGGTCGCCAATTCTTGATGACAAACTTGATTCCTTTGTCCATGTAGTGATGCCGAACCGTGTTCTCCCTGTGGGACTCCAGGACAGTCGTGAGGTCTCGAATGATCTGCTCCTTGCTTGTGTCGTGGGGTCCAGGAGGCATCTCGCAAAGCAATTCCATGATCTTGCTTGGCGTTCGGTATCTCTCGAACTCAGGAAGCAACGGTGATGCATTGTAGTCCAACACCAGCTCTTTCTCCAACCGTTCATCGTAGATCTTTTCCACCAGAGCGAAAGAGTGTGTATCTCGAGGATCCGGGACGCAAAACCATACCTCCTTGACGAAATGGAAAGGTATCGTTCGGCCAACGATCACGATGCCGCTGTCTGTGATACGTCCATCTTCTCGTGCAAGGTCCTGCGATGGGACATGAAGGACCGCCAATGGCATGTGCTTGGCGTCTCGTCCATGTACTCGCATCTTGGTCGTTGCGTTCCGGTGATCGAACGGCGCAAACACCCCCCAATAGCTGTGGAGTCTGCCACCTTGGTTGCCTCGGAATTGGCGCCTATGGTCGAAGTCCCCGTCGGGGTCCTCCGAACCAGGCATGATGCCTTGCGTGACAATGGAATCCAAGTTGCGGCATGCCGTAGCGTGGAACGCACCTCCAAGACGTTGCAAGAGGGTCATAGATGGAGATATTGCGAACCTGTTCTTGTCCAACTGA